TTTGTGAATAGTTACAAAAACTCATTATTGAAAATTTATATAAAGTGTAATATATTTTTGTAAAAAAGAGTAATATAAATTTAAAATGTTAAATTAAATAAATATTTTACTTTTTTTGATCACCTGCCTTCCTAGAAATATCATGGTGGCAGAGAATTAAGACGCTACAAATTATACTGAAACATGGTGAAGCTAGACGAAAGAGGATTATGGAAAATGATTTTAATATTATTCTAAAAAAACGTAAGAGATGATTAAAATATAAAATTTAATAAAATTTTAATGTTGAAATATTTAAAATAAGACAATATTGATAAAACAAAATTAATTGATTAATTAGATGATTATTTAGTAAAAAATTTAAGGATGATGAAATACGATGAGCACGATAAAGGGATGAAGTCTCACGTACATAGATATCAGTGGAAACCGAGATACGATAATTATGAAGATTCGAGACATACAAATAATTATGAACCAAGATATAGAAATAACAATAAAAATAATTATAACTACGATAACTATAGATATAATAATAATGATAATTACAAATATAATGAAAATAATTATAGATATTATAGACATCAGAACGAATCGAGATACATACCTAGATACAATAATAATCAGAACAAAAATCAGTCATACAAGAACAGATTTGACGTAAATAGAATGGATGATGACAGGGCAAATGATGCTTACAAAGTTACGATATACCTTAACGATATACCGGTAGAGATGCAGATAAATACCGGGTCACGATTTTCTATATTGCCGATTAATATTGCTAGAAAGATAGAAATCAAAGTCTTGAATAAATCGGATACAAAACTGACTGGCTATGATGGGAGAAGAATAGAGCTGCTAGGAATCGTTAAAATAAAGAAGACAAAACTCAAAATTTAGATGCGTCCAAAATGGCAATATTGCAATTCTGGGAAGGACATGGATAAAAGTTTTTGGGAACATACTTAATAAAATTGTAAATATAATCGAGGAAAATAGAGAAGTAGATAATAAAAATTATGAAGGTACATATTACAATAAAAAGCATGAAAATTATAAATGTCATAATAATAAAAACTTAAATTGTGTAAATTAAATATTAAAAAAGAAATAAATTCTTATAAATTAGAAGAAATAAATCATTTGATAACAATTGAAGAAATAATAGTTATTAAAAACAATAATGAAATAAAAATTGAAGAAAATAATAAAATAAAAAATTTTATAATTAATAAAAAATTTAAAAAAACTTTGTAAAAGAAAATTAAAACAAAGGTGATTAAATATCGTGATGTTGAAAGAGAGATTAGGAGTACGATATGGAGATCGGATGTTGTAGATGGAAGGAGAAATTTTTTTATAAAGAACAAGTTGAAGAGAAATTATGATATAAAAAAAGTGTATAAATTGAAAAATAAAGGAGTAAAATTTAAAAATAATTTAATATTTTCTTAAACGAGTAATGTCTATGTCTAGTATACTCTAATATGGTTTATATTTTATTGTTTAAGTTGAAAAATTATTTTTAGATGTATATCTAGACCTGTGAGCTGGCCTCTGACTTTTTTGGTTACGCAGAAAACGCCACCATTTATGAAAATCACGCCTGCGAGCCTAGAATTTTTTTTCTTATTTATAACTTTTTATTCTAATCATTTGTCACTGTGATAATTTCTTTAATGTCAATCTGGATGTTATAAATTCTTATTTTCTACATATTTTTAAAATGGATGCATCTACATTTAAAAAATCTATAAATAATTTAATATTATAACAGTAAATAATAAAAATAGAAAATCATTTGTGAAGAAGTTTTTTGGTTTCTTACACTTAAAGAGATAATAAAACAATTTACATAGATTCTGATAAATTTTACGGTAATTGTTGCTTAAAAAGGCGATTGAAGATGATGATGATTCTAATAAGCCTTTTCATAGTATATTTTTTAGAATATTATCTTTTCATATACTAAAATCTTTAATAATGTTTTGTAAAATATTATCTAAAATTAAAACTTTTTTTTCAAAATTAGCGCAGGAAATTTGTTTAAAATAACACTTGACTTCTGAATCTAATATTAAAGAAGATACTTCATCAAAATCGTAGGATTTAAAAAAATATTTTATATCCAAACCAAAATGCCAGAAAAATTGTAAAACCTCTAAAAATAACTTCTAGCAAGAAACTGTGTTATTATGTTGTGCTGACTTATTAACTTTTCAATCAATTGATAATATAGGAATGAAAGATTTTTTGAAGGTATCACATATATAAAAAAAATGATATATTATTTATAATATTATACATTAATTAAAACTCCCATGATTATTAAACAAGAACCTTTTAAGATCTACCTCTATGTCTTTTTTATTCTATTGAAGTAGCATTGGCTGCTGAGAAAGGCTTACTATTTGAATTTCATAGCCATGCCAACAATGATTAGACATAGACATGATTTTAAATATTATTGGATGGGTAGCTTTACAACTCAGAATAAATTTTTAACAAATTTATTTCTTCCTGATAAATTGTCCCTGATTGTTGTCTAATATAAATAAAATATATAGTGATAGTGATTTTTTTATTATAAATTTAAAAATACTTATTTTAGAAATATCAAGTTATCAATTATAATTCTGATTTGCCAGAAAGGACAACACTAAGTCGTACTGCACTTAATGATGTTTACTCAATGAAAGCACATGTGTAAGAACAAATTAACTCAGGGCCAAAATTTTGCTTAATTATATTCGATATGTGTACAGATCAATATAGAAGAAGAAACTATAATACATTTACACTTCATTAAATAAATAATTTTGAAATGATTTACTTTAATTCAAAAACACACAGGTACATTTAAAAAAATGGTCATAGATGCTGAACCTAATGTTAGAAAGGGTGTTCGAGGTGAATATGAACACCACTTATGTCTGGGTCATGGTTCACACAATCTGGTTACAGTAGATGGTATTAAAATGGTACCTTTTGTTAAAATTCTCATCAAAAAAATTAAAATTATTACTGCTCAAAATATAAAATTGCAAAGGTTGAATTTGAATTCGAGGCAGATCAAAAAAAATTCCTAGGTACAATAGATCTAATATCAGACATGATAGCACTAATCCATACCCAGATATCTGTTTTCAAATTGGCAATTCCAATGATAATATCATTATTTCCATGCATATGAAAACCTTAAAATTAAATGTCTAAACATGCTGGCATAGTATATTAATTATGCTAGAAAGCATATCAGGATTCAATAAGAATGTTTTGAAAAGAATTGTGAAACATCTTTCTCAAATTATCAATCTGATCTGTTAGAAGAACTATTAGTATTTCTTTCAAAATTTAAAGAAACTGTCGAATTTCTTTCAGTACAAAAAGGGCCTACGTTAAATTTGGCATTACATTATAAAAGTAAAATTAAAACACATTTAATAGTAAATGATAGTGTGGTAATTATTGTACTGAAGTTAAATATGCTAAAAAAAACTTACGCTACATTTCCGGTTTGTGATTTGCAAGTAATAATATATAAGTATTTTTTTATTTGACAAATTATCTAGGTATTGGCTTATCTTTTAGATCCAAGATTTATAAAATTGACAATTGTGTCAAAGTATATATTAGAGCAAAATTGCTCAACTTAGTAATTTATAATAAAACATCTTAAAAATATAGAGAATGATTCAAGTTGTAAATATAGCTATTGAGGATCAAGATGAATTATTAAATTCAAGTTATTTGCCAAAATTGGCAAATAAACATTCAACAAATTATGATTCCATGTTAGGTGACTTAGAACAAGTATACCATATTCTTCTTGGAAAACGACATTTACAAGATGTTGTAAATTTTTGGAGAAAAAAAGAGTGAACTTCCTATTTTTTCACCAAAAAAATTATTTGGCTTGGTTGACGTTGAATTATAGGAGATCATCATTATGTCCTGAAAATTTAAATAAAATAATTTTCATACATGATATTTTAAAATTACGAAATCGATTTTGGCTTGATGAGTTTTCTCTTGAATAAAGATTAAAAAATATGCTGAGATATCTGTAGTATATTTTATTTTTAAAAAAATTAAGCATTTAGGCAAATATGTTATAAAAATTTATAACAACGCCGATTTATGCCACTTCTGTTGACGGCGCCTTTTAGTCGGTGGGCTGCTGACCGTCGATTAGATTTTTGAAAATGGCGTTGGCCACCGATAATTTCGTTATATCTAATAATTCTGCCCCAGAAGATATAACTTTGCCACTAATTACAATATACATCCTCATACTCACCCCTTTAGTTCATTCACCAATTTTGCAGCTTAAATTTAAGTCGATTGTACACCAGATTTCTCAGTTAGATAGAAGGCTTAGATTTTTGTAGAGTATTGCCTCGAGAAATTCATAAAGAATATTTTTCATTTATACATGTCAGTATGTTTTATTGTTTATTAACATCATTTGTGATAGAAGCACATTATTATAAATATTAAATATGATAATTTTATGATAAATTCTTATTTATTTTTTAAAATAATTACAAATACCCTCTTAGAGACGTGAATAATGCATTTGTCTGCCTGAGCCCAGCTGAAGCCCAATAGAAAAAAAAAATGAAAGTTTGGCCCAGCTGGTGGCCAATTTTTTCTTAAATGAAACTGGGGATATCTCAAGTCAAAATATTTATTTTATCTTCTAGGGCCTATATTTTATTGATGATGGTATGGCAGGACTGACCAGTCCGCTACCTATAATGTTATTTTAATATCAAAAATGAGATTAGCTAGATGTTACTCCATGTTAAAAATTTTAATTTTTAGGTTGTTTCATTATCAAGTTTCTATTAAAATTTGCTATAATTAGAATTGGAGAAACATAATTTAAATGCTTTAATTTATTATATTATTTTTAATATAATATCATGTTGAGTCTATTATACTAAATGTAAGGGTGGCTAGGTGTTAAAATAAAACATAATATATTTTTTTACTTTAGAAATTGTTTGAAAAAGTACCAAGATCTTGCACGTCAGAAACAACAATTTAAATAACGATACATAAACAGATAGTAAGTTTATAAATAATATGTTTAGATCCTATATAAAATATATTAGATACATATCTTTATTTCAGCATTAACCTTTAGAGATCCAAAAAGTTCGTCCATTCCAATTAATAAGGTAAGAAGGCATCTAATGTTCTATCTTGAAATTTTATTAGAAAATTTAAATTATATTAAAGAAAAACTACACGTTAAATTGAATATATAATAATAATTTAAAATATTTGATCCCCCGAAAAATAAAAAGATGCTATCTCCATCTATTCATCTCTTGCCAGCACTCCCGCCCCCTGTAGCATCTTTCCTGCCTTTATTAATATCAATCGTTAGCTTTTTAGACACTAGAGTTTGTTTCTTCTTTCTATCATTTGGCTTTTCTGAATCTGAGGCTGAAGTAGTGTTATCTGATCCAGAAGTAGAGGAACTATCTGTTGTAATAAAAGTATATATTAAATATTGCAGGATTTGTAATAGAGGATGCAACATAAAATTTGGGAGTGATTTGGGAAAAATACTTTTGGAGCCTGGCCAAGCAACTTGTGATAAAGGTAAGATGGGAATTATTTTCATTTTTATAAAGCTCGAATTAGATAAATATATACCGTTTTCAATTTAAAAAAATAATTATAAGCCAAGCCAGAAAAACTTGAACAAAAATATTTTATGTGTCAGGATGAATAACTTGTTCTAAATTATATAAAGACTCGATCTAAAAAAAATCGCAAATCTTCATGGATCTATGTGGATCGATTTCTGAATGTAGTATCTTAAATGTCACTTAATATTATTATACTTTCTGTATCAGAGCTCGAACCAGAAGACCCTGAGCTGGAAGAACTTGAGGCAACCCTCTTTCTTTTGTTGGCTTCATTTATATCATTTACGGGTATCTTGCGAGACTTTGAAGCATCGTCCTTTACATTTTTTATATTTGACGCAATTGTAGCATCCTTAATCTTTTTGACCGAGGTAGATGTAAGATGTGGTTTTTTATCAAACTCCTGAGTTTGAGAAGAGGGTGGATGAGGGTGCCTATGACTAACAGCTAGTGAATGGTGAGTGGGTCTAGATTTGATAATATTTAGAAAATAAAAAACAATTTTAGTAATTAACAATACACAAAAAATTAACGATATATAGTTTTTTAAAGCAAAAGACATGACTTATATTTGTAGGCCTGGTGTTGGAGGATTTGTAAGTTGACTAAAATTAGATTAAAACACAGGCCACCATTAATTATACAACACCAATAATAGTTATAAATTTTTTTAGAGTTTAGCTAAGTAGAATAATAAGTTTTACTTTTTAACTAGATTGCTAGTCACCATTTCTTTCTTTGTGCCACTCTCATCAATCTGCTTTTTAACAGTCACCACAGATTCTTTGCTAATGGTGGCCTTAGCAAGATTTTCGCCATGATGTGAAGTGGTATCCCCACTGGCCCTTGTTTTAGTTTTATTTTCAGCAAATTCCTTAAGAGAATTAAGATTACTAATTGCGGCAATAGGGTGTTCTGATTTAGTGGTGGTTTTTTCTTTGTTTACTGTGCTATTCTTATCCTTTTTTGTTACCTCTTTTTTATCTTTATTTTCTTTAATATCCTTCTCCTCCTTTTTTTCCTTAATATCTTCTTTTCTTTCTTTAATATCTTCCTTCTTTTCTTTGTCTCTTTCAGTTCTCATTTTTTCTTCTCTTTTAGATGATCGGCGGGGGGTCATAGGAATAACAAATGCTACAATAACCTCTTGACCGTCAATTTGTCCTAAATAAAATTAAATATTGTAAACAACTTGTAATAAGAGTTAATAGATAGAAATAACAGTTTCAACCAAAATTATAATTATTTAAAGATTTCTAATAGGAATTTAAAATGAACCTGAACCATTTATTTTATCACCCAAACCTGAATGCACTTCTAAAAAGGTATGTGAACTAATTTGAGCTTTTTGATGTTTTAAATATTACAATCAATTTTTATTCTTGCTATTGTATAGGGCTGGTAAAATCTAAAATTGTTTTATTAGGGCTGGGCAAATGAGCTGAGCAGTGCAAAATTTAGAGATACTAGTGTGCTTAATAGAAAAATTATTCTTAAGACGAATTTTGTTAAAATAATGTTTTATTTTGCACATATAACTTGAATGATTAAATCACCTGCTAAAATGATCATTCATTCATAATGGGTCATTTAACGTCAAATCAACCAAAAAAAGAGATTTTCGGAAGACCCACATACGCCTTCAAAGTCCAAAATAGCGAAATGTGTGATTACATTAAATCTTGTTTTATTTCAATATATCATTCTATATACCTTAAAATTTTACATTAGGAAATATCGAAGAAGATTTTTCAATGTAAAATTTTAAGGGCTATAAAATTTATAATTTGTAATTCTATCTTAAGTATTTTTTTAAAATACTAGATTTTATGAAATCACGCATTGTGCGATAACGACTTTAAAGATGTATATCTTTGAATCTGGTTGAGCTAGTGCTCTAAAATTTAACATATATGTCGTAATTTTTAAAGGGATCATGACTATCCGGGATCTTCACAGGGTTGATAATTAAGGAATGATAATACGGGATTATCACTTTTTAATCGTGATAAAGAGGAATCTTATTTTAAAAGCGTTTTCCACGAGTTTCGTTGCGTTTTTAATTTTCAATTTTGTTTTTTTGGCCTTATGATATAAGATTGTCTAGTATAGGGTATCATTCGATAGCTAATCAAAAGATTTATTCATCTGGAGGTCAATCTCTGCCCCAGTGATAATACCGTATAGTTCTTTATCCTTTAAAAAATTGAAATTTTAAAGGGATCCCTTTAAATCCCGTGAAGATCCTAGATAGTCATGATCCCTTTAAAAATTACGACATATACATAACTAACAGGCCAAGTTTCGTCCATTTTAATGATGGTGGATCGAATCACTGGAATAATTTCTTTTTCCTACATTATGTGTTATTATTGCTTAAGAAAATCATAAACCTATCATAATTATTGGTTAATTTCACATATATTATTGGATTTTAAAGACAGGCCAGACAAAAAATAAATTATAACCCCCAGCTCGCCTCAGCCAAAACCACAATGAAGGGGGTTAAGTGTTATGGGTTAAGGTTTTAAATATTTTAAAGCTGCTAATTAGTCTATTTCCTTCTAAAAATAATAACCTGCGGCTCATAATAAATTTTAAAATTAAATAAATATACCTCCGTTCATAAACTTTTGAGCTTTAGCAGCCTCTTCCGATGATTCATAATCAATGTAGGCAAAACCTCTAAAGCATAAAAAATTTAACACAAATATTATCACATGTAATTATTTTATATTAATCAAGATCAATTTTTATTTCAATGTATTTGGTGGGGGGAGGGGGGTCATCTGTAAAATAGCTAGCCTTCCCAAGACTCCCATTTTTATCCTGATAGTTGATGTTATAACAAAGGAGAAATTTAAACTAGTGTAGCTTGTATTTTAGCTGAGATAAGTGTTGTTAAAGAGGGTTTCTCGGCGCTCGAGGCTAGTGTTAAAGGTTCGATTTGAGCCAATTTTTCTAAGACCAACTCGATATTTATGCAAGAAAAATATTGACCAGTTAGTAATTTTTAAAATCAGGTTGAATCGAGCTGTTTATTACCACTACCTATGTCCACTATATTTTTCTAAAAATACCTGGAACTATACTGCTAGCACCTTTGTGGGATGGAGTGGGGGAGTGTACCCTTTTAATTTCATAGCATAAATTTTTTTTTTCAAAAATCATTTTAATTGATATATTTGTTGAATACAATAAAATTTATATATATATATTTAAATTTATGAAACTATTTAATTATATTGAATGTCAACCTAAATTTTTATACTTTTTTTACTCTTGCCATTATAAAAGTTAAAATCATGGAAGATGATTCAGAAGATATTGAAATGGATGAAATAAAATTTACAAGAAATATTTATCTCTTCTAAAAGAGGTGGAACGTTAATATAATTTGAACTTGTGAATATAGATCATATACTGACTAACAGTGCAGAAAGCTCTGCTACAACATTCACTCTGTGCCCGCCTCAATATCAAATTAGTGGCCACCGTTGATACAGAGAAAGTTTTAGAATAAGATTTAAAATTATATCCAAGCTCATTTCAAAAATGTTAGTTTTTATGAAATAAACAAAATATATCCACAATAACGGCTAATAATATAATTAATAAAATGGGGATAAGAGGGAATTCATACAAAGAATCTATGGTATTCTTAAATAAAATATTTTGAAAAACACTAAGATCTTGATAATTTATGCGAATGACTTATATGCACTAATTCTCAGGAATGTAAAATAAAAAATTTATACAAATATTAATATAACCGTTATTCTTGGTAATAAATAAATTATAAGTTATATTTGAAGGTGAAGATTTTTAAACTCCAATTCTCTCTAGACTTATTATTTTGCAGATTTAGAGTCGTGCCTCCTCTAGTAGAGTCTCTTACATGCATTAACAAAAGGTTTATAAATTTATAAAAATAAAAGATATATTTTTGAATACTTTATTGCATATTTCACCTGTTTATAAATCATTCTGCATTCAAATTGAATTGGATAGGCATAGATAGAAATAGAGAAATTAATTTAATAAGAAATTACTAACACAAAAATACCTCAATTACAATGAAGAAACCCTACAATGATTTAAAAATTTTTAAGATTCAATCAATGATAATCGGGAATTTAAAAATATTTTCATGAAATTCAATACCCCACTTCTCTATAGTGTTTTTATTGAGCACTTGTTTAGTATTCCTAAAAAGGTTTTAGGCGAGAGGGAAGGCTACTTGTCAGATTCAAATTTCAAAAAATTTATACTGTAAAAAGCAAATATGTTCCGTTTAACTTAGTAATGGGAGCTAGCTTTTTTTTTAAAAAAAGGGTTAGAAATTCTGGCTGAGATAATAGGGTTCAAAGGTGTAACGTTACCTCACTTGGATATCTAATAATTTGTTATTATTTTAAATAACTCTTAGTGAGCGTGAAAATAAAAATATATTTAAATCAGGTGACTATTTTTACATTTTAAAACATAATTATCAAAATAGTCCAACCTTATTTCTAAATTTGGATTAACCTAGGCCATGAGGAAATAATTCTACAAAAGCAGCTCAGTAAGATTGTCAGACCTCCCGATATATTAATTTAATTTACGCCAAAACACGCTATTTATTACTTTACGCTTTCTCCAGATTTCCCTAAAAAAAATTCTGGCGATTTTTTTATATATTTTTTAAGACATATAATTAAAAATACATCATTAATAACGGCTCTCGAACGACTTTATAAATAGTTTATAGCTGGGTAATTCCATACCAAATCGATAACTTTTCGGCCCGACCTTTTTAATTTCGATAAAATTTTGTATGCTAAGAGAATATCATTTGAAAGCATCGAATCCAAAATTTTAGCTTCCTAGTACTCATAGTTCCAGAGATATCAATGGTCAAAAGTGCTAAAAATGACCTTTTTTCGAAAAATACGATTTTTTGAAACTGAGATAAGTTAAAAAATAATGATTTCAAAAATATAAGTTATATGTCATTTTGTAACTCTATTAAAGGCCTTTTATTAAATATCAAAGATTTTTTTGAAATAATATTGTTGCGGTTTTTATTTACGTTATAAATTTAATACATAAAAATTCCAGGTGTTTCGCTTTCCAAATTTTTTTGAATTTAATATTTTCTTATTCTCTAACCTTATATCTATTCATAAAAAAAATTTAAACTTGGGACAGCCATGGGTTTTTTAGTTATTACGATTTAAAAAATCAAAAAATAAATATTTTTTTCAAAAATAGATGGCTCTCCTTTATAAAATAACGTGTTTTGTTATAATTATTATTTTTTAAAACTTTTTTTCACTTTTAAACATAAATAATAAGATTTTCCAGCATTACTATCAGGAAAAAATATTATATAGATCGTTTGATAGGCTTACTTATTATTAGAGATTTGCAAAGTTAGGCCCGGCCCGGACGGGCTTTAGTACAATGTCTAAACTATATAAAAACCTTTTTTATTATTTTTAAAAATAAAAACTACTATGTTTAAAAATGATATATAGGAGGTGGTGTTGTATATATGCACCGTTAACCATTAATGGGTAAGCTAAGCCTGTAGTAAAATGGATCACCATGCCAAAAATATATATAAATGTTTTTAAACGTTATTTTAATATTTCATAATTTGTAATTAAATCGTTTCTTAGTAAATCTTATAAAAGTGATTTTAACACTTAGACATTTGATATTTCCAACGAATTGTGCTAGTTAGACATGAAATGAACCCTAAAAAAAATTATAAATTAATTTTCAAACTTTACACTCCATTATTCTATACTATTGCAAATTTAATTATAAAATATTTTTTTAGAAAATATACTTAAAAACTATTAAGGCTTAGACTAAGATTTCCCCATAATTTTTGATATGTACAACTTAAACTTACTTAAGATCTTCATGATGAATTTTCATGTGTCTTCAAGTAACATTAGACAAAAATACTCAACTCAATTTTTTAATTAAAAACTAGATTAGTTTGAATAATATAAGGTCATTCCATGCCAAACTGATCACAGTTCAGCAGACCACTGAAAATTCTTATATAAACTAAGTTTCTTGTAATCCATACTTGGGAAAAATTATAGTCTCCTAGTGTTTATACTTTTGAGATATTCATGGTCAATGCATGAAAAATTGCCTTTTTGCGAAGTGTCTATATTCATTAAATTATGCTATTAAATATAAGAAATCTAGTATTAAAATAAAGAATATACTTTTTATCTTCAGAAGATATAAGTAAAAAATTAAAATATTATTTTTAAAAATTTCTAGACTTTTTATTCCAATAAAATTTAAAATCCTGATAACGAAAAAGGGTAAAATTGTTTTGCATTACAGCTTCATTGGGTATGTTAGTTGAACATTATCATTCTGCTGAAATGCCAAACTCTTTTGCGTGATGACATAATTTGAAAAGTTTTTCCGTTTTTGCATTGAGCCGTCCCATCAGAAAATTAAAAAAATTTGGGGGTATCGCGTTGAATTTATTATTAATGAAATTTACAAAGCAAGTTAGAACTAAGTGCAATGCAATTGTATTATGCTGTAAGCAATCCGATATCATAACAAACGATAGCGTGATATCTTTATTATATATAACAAACTGATGAATTGTTGCATGTGCATTGATCCAGTAATAACTTTGTGCTGCATTATGAATAATAGAGCTATAATTCTCTACAAAATCACATACAATTAAAAATTCATCGTCTCCTAAACTGATTTAATAAAATTTTTGAAGGTTGGATGTTGACTAGATGGAGAGGAATGTGGTATAAAAGTTTCCATTTTTTCAATAAAAATTTTGAAAATTCATAATCTGGCTTGACTATTATTTTCAATGTTTTCCTATCAACAAATAATCATTGTTTATAAGTTATAAAGTTACATAGTTATAATAGAATATTTCTTTAAGTCGCTTTATAAAGTAATCCAGCCCTGAAGAGTTCTCACAATTTCTAAAATAAGTGGAATGGTTACGTGGATATATAAAACTTTGGGTAAAAAGTGTTTGTAAGCTTTAAGAGGATATTCATGGTTTTTTGTTAAAAATGGAAAATTTACACCAATTATCTTTATTATAAAATTTTGGCACAACCCACTAATATACAATTTTTTGGTTTTAGATTTACAAATTTTAAAAAACCTAATGAAATATAAAATGTCGTTTGTTTGAACAGAATATATATTTCTTTATTAACCTTTTCTGTATTTTCACTTTTCTCCAGTCTTTTTTACCATTACACTATGAGAATTAAGGTACAAATAGGTTAAATAGATAGGTATTTTTAACTAAATAATTATAAAAACCAGATATAATTTTTATATCTTCAAACTAAATAATTGGGAACAAATCATAAATTAACTGAATGAAATAAAATACTCCTATTAAATAAGATCCTTGCTCAAGGACCAACAATAAAAAAAATAATTTTTATAATATAATTTGTATTGGATGATACAGTACCACTATTTTTTCTTTTTTTTCAGTTCTTGCTTTCTCAAAAATACTCATAACTATTCCTTATGATAATATTATTATTGGATTGGGTGAGTTCCACACTTTATTAATTATATCTGGGTTACAAGGTTTGTTGGTATCCTTGAGGAAAAAATTGGCATAATTATTATGGAGGATAGAGCCTCTATAGTAATTAAACGTTCGCTCATTTTGGGCAGGTCCATGACCAATATGCTAGATAAGATAAGAAATATCTTGGCCGTAATTCAAAGATTTTATAGTGTTATACTTTAATCAATAATTCTTCCAGGTTTCGGATTTGTGGCTGATCCTTTTCCAAACTAAGTATTTTTGCTCTTCTTGCCATACAAAATACTTGAAACTTCTTTTGAATCCCAAATAGACCAGCTATCTGACATTGAGGACACAATTTTCCATTTATTTACGATAATTGTATGAATTTATCTTTAAGATGTACCAATAATCTTATCTTTTGAATTCAATACTGTCTCCTCAATATCTAAGCTTGTTTCAATGGCTCTTATTATTTTATCAAATTTTGGATATTATTTTTCCAATAGCCTTCTTTTTTTGATGGGAGATTTGCTGAGTTCGTTAATTGTTGTTTTGATTGATTCAATAATATCAGCATCTATGCTAACAGTTTTAGTTTTTGATTATTAGATTTTCTTAAATTTTTATTACATATTGATGGTTAGAAATATTAAAGGGATTACAGCATCTAGCATAATATTTTGTTATATTTTATTTATGAATAAAGAATTTAATTAATATTATTTGAAGATTTATTATAATACATGTGCAGGAATAAATATCGTGTAAAGTTAAAAATTTAATCAATATTTATACAAAAAATGACGTTGCATATATAATTTATTTTATAAAAATATATATTGCAATAAATATAGAAATATAAAATAAATACATAAAAAAGTATAGTATACATAGTATAAAAGTAGTTCTTCTGCTGAATAGGAACTTCTTAGAGAAGTATTGTAAAATATGCTATCAAGATTATAAGGCCTAAAAAATTAAACGTTCTCTATCTATAGTATAAATTTTCCATTTCTAATGGTTTTTATCAATTTTATCCATGAAATCGTATTGGCTCCATTCTTTTTTAATACTCATATAGAATGGTAATAGTAATGTTTATCTAATTCATAAAAATTGATTTATTTTATTCTGGGAATATGAGGTTTAGAAATTTCTAAAATAATTTTTTAATTATATTTTCTGAAGATAAAAAGTGTATTCTTTATTTTAATTTATTCGAGTAATTTTTAATCAATCATTAGCAAAAATAGGCAATTATTCATGCGTTGACTGTAAATATCTTTAAAAGTATAAAAACTAGGAAGTTTAAATTTTGCCCAAATAGAGATTACAAGAATATTAGATTATATAAAAATTTTCATCAATATAGAAATGGGTCGGCCAAGAATTGTATTTTTGATTGATATATTGGGAAAACATCAAAATTAATTATTTTTTAAATTATAAGTCATCTAATGACCAGTAGAGCATGAAAATATCAAGCATGAATGGAGAAAATATTCACTAACAAATCATTATAATACTGGAAAAATTTACAAAGTATTACTAGACCTGTGCACCAGCCGGCCATTGGCCGACCTTTTTTGGTTACGTCGAAAACGCCGCCGTTTAGAAAAATCACGCCAGCGCGCCTTCGATTTTCATATAGGCGGCGCACGGCCGGCATAGAAATTTATTTCTACCTTTTTATTTTAATATTTGAACAACATCACTCTTGTAATTTTTTTAATGTCAGCAGGATTTTGATGAATTTTTATTTTTTACTATTTTAAAATCTTAATTATATTGACTTCATTATAAAATTCAATCAATCAAAAATCTAAAATTCCAAAAGTTACCATAATTTTACATATTTTTAAAATGGATGCATCTACTTTAATAATTTTAGTATTTTAACTCTGGATAATAAAAAATCCATAGTCTCGAAATTTTTTGGCAAAAGAATTAGAGAAATTATTACTGCTCTAAGATATAAAACTGCAGAGGTTGAATTTGAATTAGAGAAATATCAAAGAAAATGCTTAAGTACAATAGATTTAACATCAGACATGTTAGATCTTGACAGCATTGATCCATACCCGGATACCCGTTTTCAAATTGGCAATTCCAATGATAATAATAACAATAATTCCACGCATATGAAAACTTTAAATTTAAATATCCCAACACGTTGGCATAGTATATTAATTATGCTATAAAGCATATCTGGATTAAATAGGAATTTAATTAATAATGTTTTGAAAAGAATTGTGAAGCACTTTCTCAAATTATGAATCTGATCTGGTAGAAGAACTATTAGCATTTCTTTCAAAATTTAAAACTGTCGAATTTCTTTCAGTACAAAAAGGGCCTACTTTAAACTTGGCGTTACTTTTTAGAAGTGAAATTGAAACACATTTAATAGTAAATGATAGTGATAGTTCTGAAATTATTTCACTTAAGGGAAATATGCTAAAAAAAACTTGCGTTACGATTTCCGGTTTGTAATCTGCAAGTAATATTATATAAGTATATTCTTTTATTTTTTATTTAAAATTATCTAGGTATTGGCTTCTCTTTTAGATCCAAGATTTTAAAAATTGACAATTGTGTCAAAGTATTTAATAGAGCAAAATTGCTCAGCTTCAGAATTTATAATAAAACTTAAACTTATAGAGAATGATGATAATTAGGTAGTAAATATAGCTAATGAGGATGAATTATTAAATTCAAGTTATTTGACAAAATTGGCAAATAAACATTTAACAAATATAAATTATGATTCTAAGTTAGGTAAATTAGAACAAGAATGACACAGATTTCTTGGAAAACGACATTCACAAGATATGGACGTTATAAAATTATGAAGAGAAAAGAAGAGTGGACTTCCCAATCTTTCCAGGCTCGCCAAAATAATTATTTGCATTCTGGCGACTAGCACACCTAGTGAAAGAGTTTTCTCTACCGCTGGATTGTTAAATTTAAGGATATCATCATTATGTCCCAAAAATTTTAATAAAATAATTTTTATACATGATAATTATAAAATTACGAAATTGATTATGGATATAATAAGTTTTCTATTAAATGAATATTAAAAAATATGCGAGATATATGTAGAATAGTGTATATTTATTTGTTTTTTTTCTTAAATTAATAAGCAATTAAAAAAATTTATCTTATAAAAATTTATATATGCGCCAATTTTATTGACGGCGGCTAAAAATCGGCGCGCCGCCGGCCATTGATGAGATTTTTTAAAAATTGCGCCGGCCACCGATATTTAGTCGCGCACAGGTCTAAGTATTACTGAATAAAAAAATCTATTTATTGAAAATTATTACTTTAACATGTAATAATAAAATACTGACAATATAATTATAATATTAAATGTTGGTAATTTGGTATAAAATACAAAAAAAATTAATATATGGAAAATAAAATCTACCAATTTTAATCATTTTATAACTTTCTAATTTTATTAAAAAATGATGAGAAAATTAATGATCAAGTTTAATTTTTCAAATGTCTCAAAATTTCTATAAAATAATTTAAACTCTTAGCAATCTTTTGTAAAAATACCTGTATCAGTTAATAAATAAAGTGATCAATTGAATATTTAGAGTAAACTACGTTAAGCTCTATTCCCACAAAAAAAATAAAGCCTTTTATTATTTAATTATATAAATTTTTAATAAAGTAAAAATATTGATTTGTAAGTAAAATGTAATAAATATTATGTAAAAATGTGTCAACCTAGAATAAACAAAATGATTTCTGTCCATGGGCATATCAATGGTTTTGATTCTTCCATAGGTTCCAAATATTTCCTTTAGATGATCCCTTGTTACATGTCTAGTCAATCTTCCCACATGAATCTTGGATGGCAAGACAACTGGTTTCTTGAAAGGCACTCTAGAAACTGGCTTAACAGTAGATTCATTGATATTTGAAGAGCTAGATACAGTGGTATTGTTTGTAGAACCTTTAAGCTTAGGTGAGGGTGTTCTTATTTAAAATATTCGGTTTTAAAATATAAGTTTCAGGAGCTAAGGCTCAGGTCTCTGATTAATATATTTATCTTAAAAAATTTATAAGTGCTAAAAATATGAGCTTTTAATATGCATTGAACATGATAACAAGATTAAAAGTGTAAATCATATTCTTTGTTTTCAGGCTTCTAATATATATTTATATAAAATCCTATAATTCTGACATAATATTGGAAATCAGTATGACATAGCAAAACCAATGAAGTATAGGGTCCTAATAATAAAATAATTTCCACTGATGTTTTATAAAGAAATGACATAAATTAGTTTAATTGTAAATTTTTTCCAGTCTGATCAAAATTTTAAGTACTGCAGCCTATGGACTCTAAAATTAGGCAGCTAGATAAGTATTCATAAATACAGAAAAAATAATAAATTTATTTTACTAGTACAAAATCATTAAATCATAGAGAAAAATATGCATAGTGACAAATCAATAAAAATGCTGAGTAAAAATTAATTTACTGATATATCCATTAAAAAAATATTACTATATTGAGAATATTATCTTAAATACTGATAGTTTTAATATATTAAAGAAATAAATAAATCTTATGATTATTTAGAAAAGAATATTATCAAAAATGGTAACATTTTTTGAAATTAGATGAAAAAATTTTAGATTTATTCATGAATTAAATATTATAATGCTTAAACTAATATTAGATGTTATGAAAAATTATTAGGTAAGATCATACCTTGTTGATGATTTAGAATGGTGGTGTCTTTTCATTTTAGTTGCAGTGGTAACATTTACTTTATCATCTGATTTATTTATTTCCTTTTTAACAGGGACAGCAATATCCTGATTTTCTTTAATATCTGGCTTTTTATTCTGAAGTTTTGATTCATTGAGTCTTTCAGACTCTAAACGTTTTTTTCTATTTATTTCCTCCATAAATTTCTGATCATCTTTCCTTTTGCTTTCTCCTTGTTTTGATATAGGTTCCTTTTTTCTGGAATCTTCTACTTTACTTGTATCCTCTGGTTTTTTGTGTTCAATTTTATGATCTTCTCTTTTTCTAAATTCTTGAGGTCTATTGCTTGGCTCATCTCTCCTTCTATAAGTATCAGTTTTATGTATTTCGTCTCTCCTTCTTGCATCTTGGGCAACAGACCTACGTGTTAGCTCCCTATCCCTTCTTCTTGTATCATCTTCTCTATCATGGCCTCTATTTCTTTCAGAAAAATTTCTATCATTTGCATTGTGATGTATATTATTCAATCGATTGGAATTCTCTTGCCTTGGCAAACGCCTGTCTTGTTGTGATGTGTTAGGTTTTCTCTTATGTTGTGGTGAAGGAGTACTCCTTGATGCTTATATTTTTGAATTAATATATATATATTATATATATTTTTTCATTAGGTTTATAATATAGTATGCAAATAACTTGAAGATGAGCCACTGCCACTAGATGTCCCAGATGAGCTTGAGCCTGAAGATCTAGGAATGGAGAGATATTAATAAGTAAAAAATAATAATAAATTACCCTGAGGATGAAGTGGAAGAATGAGATGAATCACGTTTTCTTTTACTTTTATCATCCTTAGTCAATTGCATTCTTTTTTTATCTTCGTTATTTTTAGAATCAATCTTATTAGAGTCCAATTTATTTAATGCCCTTAAATTATATTAGTATTTATATTTTAAAACGTTATAATTACATGGGAATGGTGGAATCGCAATTAATAATTCGATTTGTGAAAATATGAAAAATTTAATTTTTAAATTTAAAATTTATTAAACTTTAAAATATATTCTTCGTCTATTTTAGAAATTTTTTTAGATATAACATATATGTATATAGTAAAAAGAAATATAGAATAAAAGTATATTTAAATTTTTAAAACATATAAAGTTACCTACATATTCATTGTTTTAGATTGTACGTAGAGCGTAGTAGCAATAATGTCATTAGTGGGAGAAGATAAGGGGGGGGGGGTGCAGGGGTTGAAATACACTAAAGAGCCCCCTTTAATATGAATTTTTTGATACCACGAAAAACAAAACAGTAGAAATCATTATCAAGTACATAGGAAAGAATGGCTTTGCCCCGAAACTATAATAGTGTGGGTGAACGGACTAGTGGGGGGAAATTTTTAAAAAAACGGGCCTGTGGGTAGGCGGATTATGTAAAATATTATATGGATTTTTAGGTTCTGGTGGGTTAAAAGATTTACAACTTTCATTTATTATTTAAAATCATCCAAGTTAATATTTAAAAAATATGTTCCCTGAAATTTCAATATTTTTGATACCAAAGTATCGATAAATGAGGATTTTCTCGTCAGAAAAAATTAAAACATGTTGGATTTGATATGATCAATGTTGATGAAACTCTGATTTTACCCGTTTCTTCATTCAATTAAAGTAGCATAGAGGTCAAAATTAAAAAGCATATGAGAAGATAGTGATTTAACAAAATATTTAAATCTTAAAGTAACGAGTTTTTATATAATTTACCTAGATTTTAGGCTATTTACTTTATTTAGGTTTACAATTTATAAACAATTAATTTAATTTAAATTACGTTTTTTATTTATCATCAATGGTTTAACTTTTTATTTTAATATCTCTTTTGAATAGAGGATGAACCTTAAACAGAAATACTTTGATGGGAACGACAGGAAAAGGACTTATCAAAGTTATGAAGGCTAGATAAATATTAGCAATTCAAGCAACCAGTGTTTCTTTTGAACGAATAATTAACATTACTCGAAGGTTTTAGTGTCAATTAATAATTTTTTGATTATAACATCAATATTTTATTAGATCAAATAGATTCTATAGCCAGATATTAATTAAATTGAACACTTTTTTATGCTTAATATAGCAATTTCCTAAATTATAAATATTTTTTAGGGATCCAGTGCTGAAACTAAATTATTGAAACGGTTAACTTATTTAATCAAAAATATTACATAAACCTAAAAATTTTGTTCATAGATGGCACAAAATTTTTTAATATCTATTAGCGAAATCTCGAGACTTAGGCAATATTTTTCTGGATTAAAATATTAAGTTAGACGCTTTTAAATATATGCTTAAATCCAGCAATTCAACTATACCCTATGGATGTATCCTATGCAACTATAGAGATTGATTTTTATCAATATATATATATCAATATTAATAAATTTTAACAAGAATATCTTTTGACCTATTACATCTAAAAGTTTAATTCGTAAGTCCTCAATAAAATTAGCGTATCAAACTAAAATGAATAAAATTTGAAAGCAAACTGCTTCTACCCCCACAACTAATTTAGACGCTGCGAAGCTCTAACATGGTTGCAGTCCTACAATGTGAAAACATACGGTAAACACAAATCGTATTGACTGAATAAATCAATAAGAGACGTCTTTAGTTACACATAAACATAAAACAGTTTATAAATAAAAACTCCATAAAAAATTTTCTAAACTTAGGCCCCACTTTTATTCCTCACAAGGTAAACATCTTATTTAGCTCCGTGAAGTTGGCAGAACGACTTGAAGTGCAATTGACAAAAATTATGCCATTATTTAGAGTCTTAATTGCACCTAATTGCACTTCTATCCGGACATCAGCAGAATGAACCGTTCGTGAGTTATGAGCAAAATAAGGAAAGTGTGAAATTTTGATGCTGGCAGAACGACTTGAGGTGCAATTAACAAAAGTTACGCCATTATTTAGAGTCTTAATTGCACCTAATTGCACTTCTATCCGGACATCAGCAGAATGAACCGTTCGTGAGTTATGAGCAAAATAAGAAAGTGTTGGCACTTTGCCAAAACCGAAAATAAATTAGATTAACTTTTGAAACTTGGCAATTAATTAGTTTACAATTTGTGCTTTAATATTCTAAAAACGGGATATCCGTATCATTAATCGCAAGCGAATAATATTTATTTGTCTGAGGAAAATGAAGTAGGCGGAATTATTTATAAAAAGTGAGGTGCAATTAGAGATACTTATGCCAATGTGTAGCCCTTTAATAGAACATTAAGAATCTATAAACGGCTTATCAGCAGAATTAACGGCTAGTGAGTTATGAGCAAAATAAGGAAGTGTTGGCACTTTGCCAAAACCGAAAATAATTAAGAATAACTTTCGAAACTTGGCAATTATTTAGTATTCAATTTGTGCTTTAATATTCTCAAAACGGGATATTTATTTATTTGAGAAGCGGAAATGAGCGGAACTCTTAGTAAATGTGAGGTGCAATTAGCGATTCTTATGCCAGTGTGTAGCCCTTTAATTGAACATTAAGAATCTTTAAACGGCATATCAGCAGAATAAACGGCTAGTGAGTTATGAGCAAAATAAGAAAGTGTTGGCACTTTGCCAAAACCGAAAAAAATTAAGAATAACTTTCGAAACTTGGCAATTATTTAGTATTCAATTTGTGCTTTAATATTCTCAAAACGGGATATCCGTATCACTAATAGTAACCGAGTTATATTTATTTATTTGAGAAGCGGAAATAAGAGGAATTCTTTGTAAATGTGAGGTGCAATTAGTGATTCTTATGCCAGTGTGTAGCCCTTTAATTGAACATTAAGAATCTTTAAACGGCATATCAGCAGAATTAACGGCTAGTGAGTTATGAGCAAAATAAGAAAGTGTTGGCACTTTGCCAAAACCGAAAATAATTAAGAATAACTTTCGAAACTTGGCAACTATTTAGTATTCAATTTGTGCTTTAATACTCTCAAAACGGGATATCCGTATCATTAACCGTAACCGAGTTATATTTATTTATTTGAGAAGCGGAAATGAGCGGAACTCTTAGTAAATGTGAGGTGCAATTAGCGATTCTTAAGACAGTGTGTAGCCCTTTAATTGAACATTAAGAATCTTTAAATGGCATATCAGCAGAATAAACGGCTAGTGAGTTATGAGCAAAATAAGAAAGTGTTGGCACTTTGCCAAAACCGAAAAAAATTATGAATAACTTTCGAAACTTGGCAATTATTTAGTATTCAATTTGTGCTTTAATATTCTCAAAACGGGATATCCGTATCATTAACCGTAACCGAGTTATATTTATTTATTTGAGAAGCGGAAATGAGCGGAACTCTTAGTAAATGTGAGGTGCAATTAGCGATTCTTATGCCAGTGTGTAGCCCTTTAATTGAACATTAAGAATCTTTAAACGGCATATCAGCAGAATTAACGGCTAGTGAGTTTTTCTTATTAGGTTGTTAATTTTTATATTTCGTTCTTCCGATTAGCACCTTTCTATAGAAAAATAAGAATGGCATTTACATTTGTTGTAATATGTACTTGATATTTAATTTGCATTAAGAGTTTTTTTGGATTTATTATTATAACGCGTGATAAAAATGTTATATTAGAATAATGAAATTATGAATATTATTTATAAAGAAGATTGAAAAGAGTATAAAAACTCCAAATTTTACCATTCGATGATCTTTTATAATTATTAACTTTTTTGTATTTTATTTTTATTTTTATTAATTTTTTTATTATTTTTACTTTTATAATTTTATTAATTTGATAATGTTATAATTTGGAATAAATGATTAAATTATGATTTTACGAACTTAATTTTTTTTAATCTTTAATTTTTAATTTTAATTTATATTAATTTATTTTGATTATGTTTTTATCTTATTATTTAATAAAGATTTAGTATCATTTTAGTTCTAACCTTTCTTTATTTGACAACTGTTTTAATCTCCCAATTCTTAATTATTCTCAAAATGTTACAACATTTATTAAATAATTTTATTTTTCAAGTTTTTTCCGATTATTATGTATAAAATTAAAATAAGGTTTATAAAAATCAGGGACCCGGATTGAACGAACCTTTATAAATATCTGAACCGTAACCGAACCTATATATTTATTTTTTGAAGGAGTAAAAAGAACTTTTATAAAAAAAAGTTAAACCGGTTCAGTTTTTATATTTTAAAAATGGAAATAATTTAAATATCCAGAATTATTTTGCTCTTATAGTAATGGCGTTTCCCGTATCTTAAAAATTAGTTATTATGAATCATATAAATTTTTTTAGAAAAAAATTGAGAAAACATCAGAAAAATAAAGATTTAAAATGTTAAAACAAAAATGGGTAGAAAAAATATAAATTGAAAAAAAAATTTAGTTTTTTCCGGGGGTTTATTTTCTATGGGGTTTTTTTATTCTGAATTTTTTTTCCCAGGGTTTTTTCAGGGAGGTTTTTTTTATATATAAATTTTAGATGCATTAAAAAAAAAAATTTATTTAAGAAATGTAAAAAATTAATAAATATTTTTTTACATATTTATGAAAAATTTAAAAAATTAGTAAATGTTCTTTTACTATAAGTTATAATGTGTTATAGTCTATATTTTTTTATTTTTAATTAAATTTCCAACACATTTCTTTTCAACTATTAATCTTATTAATTAATTACTTTCAATTTGTATTAAATTAAAATATAATTTTATTATATTTATTTACCCCTTTTTATAACACTCGTTTCACTGTATACCAAAACACATAATCAACATGTTTCATTAAATCATAACTATAACACTGTAAAATGTAAGACTTTTTGAAGTGATCTTAGTTTTGTTGTTGTTTATTTTATTTTAAATTTACCGTATGATATAATTAGATCTTTCCAACAAAATCATTTTAAAATACCCCCCCTCCATCTTATAATGATTTTTAACCACATGTGGTGAATTCAGTCAGTATTAAAATCTTTTAAAAATTTTTTAT